TCAAATATTAATGTAATAAAATCTAATTGATCTAATAATATGATTTACATAGTTATAAATATATCAACATTAAGGATTTATTTTTAATAAAATAATTGACTTTAATTAATCTAATAATTTAATGATATCATTAAGGATTTATTTTTAATAAAATAATGTTATTTTAATAAAATAATTGACTTTAATTAACGTAATAATTTAATGATGTATATCTTTTTCATCGATTCTCGTATTAGGTCGTATACGATAAAACAAAAACAAAAACCCTAGAGAAAAATACCCAGATAGCAGAGAGACGAGTTTTATTAACTAATTTCAAATCGAGAACAGCAATAACAGCATCTTCCTTAATTTATTTAAGTTTGATTGCAGCCATAATAAATATATTAGCAAATATGGAAAAATTATTACCCCACAAAGTGGGACCAACTAAACAGGATTGCGGGTTATCTGCCACAAATTTGCAACCACTCCTCGTCTCGTGATATTTTTTATTTTTTTGATAATTTATTTTTAAGTTTCAAAAATATTTTTAAAAAATTTAAAACTTTTTATTGTTTTATATATTAATATTAAAAATAAATTTTAAAAAATAAATATTATTTTAATATATTTTTAACGTCCAGTAACAGAGTACGAAACGGGCTAGGCTAATGTGCAATCACTCTCCGGCTTTCCTTCTCCAATGGTGTCCTGTTTTCTCCCCCGCCACATCTTTGATCCCTTTTGCTAGCTCTTGTCTTTGAAGCATACCGTTCTTGTCTCCCTTGATTTCCAAACCAGCTCCTATCTCCACTACAAATCCAGCATTCAAAGGTTGATCAATATACAAAGGCATAGCTATTATTGGTCACCAAATCTCATGCTCTCCAACACAGAATTACAACCACAGTGACTCAGAAGTCCACCAATGCCAGGAATCCAGGATGACTCGAAATTCTCTTCTGTGGAGCCCGTTCCTCGACTATCAGTCCCCTTTCTCCAACTATATCAAAGAAACCCTCAGGCAATGCTTCTTTTGCACTAATTTTCTCTCCTTGAGCAAACCTTAGGACCCTTTTAAAGTTTACTTTGTAAGCAGTGGTCCAAGTGCCAGCTCTTCTCTTTCCTCCTTCGACAAATAATTTTCAGTGCCAGATGAAACAAAAATGACTGAAGATGGGTCTTTCTTGTTAAGCCATTCTGTGATTTCTGTTTTTTCACCTTCTTGATTACTAGCTAGGGCCTTGAAAAAGTGGACCAACAAGCACAATCTTCTTCATGGCTACAGCTGAGAGATCATCTAAGTAAGTATCTACCTTCAATCTCTTCCGAACTCCGGACCAACATTGTGCTAGAGGATTGTTCCTAGTGTTGAAGAATTCGGTCTTCAACTATCGGAAAATCTTTTGCAGAATCTTGAATAATAGTACTGTCGTGATCAGACTGATTACCTGAGTTCTTGAGGGCATGAACTGCAACAGAATTTGCCTTATTGCCACCAATCACAAACTGAACAGTTGGAATATTCAGTGATAAAGCCAGCGCAAGAGCCCATGGCTGAAAGAAATCACAAATAAGCAAATCTGGCTTTAATGTTGTCAAAATGTTGGAGAAGCTACTGCCTGCCTTATCAAATGCTTGCATCAAGTTTCCCAAGAGATGCTTCGGCAGGCCTGTGGTTGTGTACTGGTAATGAGGAGGAAGGTTAGGCAATGATGGAAGATGAAGATCTTCAAGAATTGTATTGAAGAGAAGTTCTTTTCTTCTTCCAATAGGTTTTGTATGATATATATGGCCAAGGCTAGCAGGTGTGGAACGAAGATAAATATGAAAGTTTCTCTTCGAAAGCTTCTTGGCTACATCCATGTGGGGATGTGCGCGCCTATATGCTAACCATGGAAACATTAGAACCCGAATAGCTCTCCTATTTGGGGCATCCATCAATATATTATTAATTATAGGCTTGTGCTCTTTCTTGATTTTGCTAACAAGCCTGAGGCACCTTCTTGTCTGTGACTTTTTTTATGCATACCCAAATTAATCATCTAATGTCAGCAACGCGTTGGAAGGTTTAAAAAATAATCAAATATATGTATAAATTTTTCTATGAAAGTTCCTTCTTGTCAAGAATCTCCTTAGGTTTTGAAACGAATTATAAGTTAGTTCTTGTTGTTTAATAACCTTTAAATTCAGTCCCCCAACTAATCACCCTTGTTTTATAAAATTAATTTCTAAATTTTTCCAGCTCATGAATAAAGTTAAATTATATTTGAATTAAACAAATTAGCTAGATTACATCAAAAAAAATTATCATAGAGGTTAATTTTAATCTCATAATAAATAGCAAAATATTTTTTAAATTAATTTTTTATTTTTTATTTTTTATTTTTTATTATAGGTCAATCGAGTTACTTTGAACAAATTAAGTCGATTTGATTATATCAAAATATTTTTTATATAATTTAATTTTAAATAGATATTAGGCCATGAATCAAATTATGAAGTCTTATAAATGATTTATTTTAGTTGAGTTTAATAATAACATTAATTGATAATTTACAACTTGGATATTTTTTATTATGTTTAGGTTTTAATTTTCATTTCATAATATAGCCTAGACATTTAAACTAGTATCTAACTAATTAATTGGATAACAAGGAAAAACATAGTGTCTCAAAGAGATGAAAAACCCGTTCATTCTCTTGACAACCAACACATGCTAAGTTGATATTAAGCTAATTGATTAACTAACTCAATAATACTTAATAATATTTATTAATTGAAGTCATTAATACCTGCTTAGGCATAATTCATTATGCCATATCCGGAAGCATTATTCATCTTGTATATCACTATAATTTACACTTATACGGAATCTATTTTAAATTAAAAAATGCTATTTATATGAAATCAAAGAATTTTGCAAATATTAATAAATTAATTCGGCGGTCTAACAAATTTAATTTCTTTGTTGAATTTTTAAATCTGAATCTTGATAATATTCTTAATCATCCTTTTATGGGCTTGAGGCCACAGAGCCAGTCCAAAAATTCCTACAAACTACATCAATCACTTGTCAGGGATCAGGCCACCAGGGAATGCCAACGGGCCAGATTTGAAATTAACTTCATGGCCTTGCCAGTTTATTGTCGTGGGCTTTCTCTTGGGCTTTTGCTTCTCCTTCATTTGACAATGTCTGGGCTTGCTCTCGCACTCGCTCTCTTTCTTACAGCCTCACCAGCTCCAGCACCACATCTCTTATTATCCTTGCAATGTCCTCACTTTCAACCACCTCCATAGCCACACCAACACTCTCTACTAATGGCTGGTCGGAGCCCATACGCATATATAGTTACCTTTATACAGCTGGTATATAATTCAATGAAGATGCTGAAGTTGGTGCCTATAACTGAACAAAATCATAGACAGACAAGTCTGATTTTAAAGCTTCTAAAATGTTAAAGAAACTAGGGCTTGCCATTTCTAGAGCCTCCGTGAGGGTTTCCATGAGATGGGGCGTTAGGCCTTTTGCGGTGCGGTAATGAGCAAGGAGATTCAAAGTTGGAAGGTGGAGTTCAATAAATTTGATTGCAACTTGAATATTCTTGACATAATTTAGGCCTCAAGAATTCGAGATTTACAGGTATGGAACGACAGTATATGTAGAAGTTTCTTTTCAGATTTTTATTGGCTAGCTTTGGGAAAGGTGATACGTGACCATGAGCTAACTATAGAAACAAACATCGAAAAATTTAGAAATTAATTTTATAAAACAAGGGTGACTAGTTGGGGGACTGAATTTAATAATTAACTTAAAAAATTTTGATAGAATTGAAAATAATAATGAGAAAATGATGAAAATATAAGAAAAAAAAGTTGAATTAAAAAAAAACTTTATTGTTCATATTTATACAGTGAAGTTTCACAAATATTCCCGGTTTATTTAGTGTATAAGGAAACCACATATCATCGTTGAATAAAAATTTAATAGAAATTATTTAAAACTCAGAATTTTAAAATAGACTCCCATCAAATATATTTTTTGTGTTCATAATGCAAATGTGATGACAACCTGATAAAGTAATAAGATTGTATTCAATGAAACCATGAACAAAAACTAAAACAAATCGTTAGAAATTAAAAACAATTAATGCACGTGTGCACATGAGCATAAAATTGATGTGATAATTAAATGAAAAATATTCACAATAGAATTTCTAACAAAGTTCTGTTCTAACTCATATAAATTGCAGAATTATTTTGCCTACATGACATAATTATTAAATCTAATTTGGCAAAAATGATTGAAATATGTTAATTTTAATTTATCTTATTAATATTATTTTTTAAAATAATATAATATTATTTTTAAATTTATTTTAATTTTAACCAGATCTATTAAATTACAATTTCACCATGTATATTAACGAGATCAATCATACAATATATTTTTTTATACACTTAGCCTATAGCAAGTGTTCGTTCAAATAGACCTGGGCCGAAGTCTGGTTTGATAACTTCAGCATCTTGAATTCCATTATATATATATATATATATTATTTTAATTTTTTTTTTCCTCGTTTTCTCTCGTGTAAGCATCCTAAGAATTAATTATTATTATTATTATTACAGCAAGAAAATAAAAGATAGTAATTATAATCTATAGCCATGTAAAAAGGATGATCGAATAACATACTGAAATGCCAATGGTCCCTATTATTGCTAAAAAAAAAAAAGCTTCTTTGTTCATTCCCAACATGCCTGAGTTCTCTTTCTCAATAGTTTTAGTGAAAGTAAAAGTCTTGATCTCCATTTTAATTCAATAATGATACAGTTCTAGCCTCTCTTATCCCTCAACAAGGTAGGTCCCATTCAGCTTTCTCTCATTTTTCTCTCATTATTTTATAGTCATCTTTGTGTAAATCATACTCGTGTTTGATTTTGATTTGATCTTTTGGTACTTAGAAATCTTATACATGGAAATGGAAGATCATTTTTGTTTCTTTTTTAGCACATGAGGAGTTAAATATTGCTTTCTGCGTCTTTGGTTTTGGGCTTATACTGTGAAAACATGAATAATTATGATCAAAAGAAGCAAGATCAGAGGTAAAATCCATCTGGGTATTCTTCTTTTGGCTCCTTTTTGGTCTAGTGGGTATAATTTTGAATTTTTTTTGGTTTTGGGTACTCTTGTTTGCCTTCTCCGTGTTTTTTTAGCTGGTTTTCGAGATGATTGTCTTTGAATTGATAGATTCTTGTGAGTGTTTGGAGTAGAGTTATTGTTTTCCATTTTGTTTTTTTATGGGAGGATTGTGGAAAGTTAAGAAATGGGTTAGAAGGTTCATGCTTATGTATGCACTTTTATGGCTTTAGTTATGAGGACCAAGATTTTGATTCATTTTCTTGGGTGAGATTAAATTTCTGCTGAAATTGTACAAAAATGGAACTGTTTTATCTTGGAATGATAGATTGTACATTGTTTGTGAGGCAAGTTAGCTAATCAGTATGCTGCTTATTGGCTTCATTGTAATTAAAGCTAGTGTCTTCCCAATAAGAACACGATAGAACGATAACATTTCTTTATTTTGATGTTATCCATAGAAGAGAGAGGGTTCTAGGATTTTGCTTTACATTCTGGATGCTGCCTAGGGGAGGGGGCCTTGAACCTTAAATAGAGGTTTGGCTTCCTTGAGATATACCTCTCCATTGGTTAGAGGAGCTATTAGTTTCTGATTGATCAATTACCAGTCAGTTAAAAACTGCTTTGTAGTTTTGGAAATGATAGCGGTCATATTTTTGCTTTGAAATTTGGCAGGAATTTTACTTATTCTTGTTTGCTTTCTTATTGGCTTATCCCCATTCACAGGACCAGTTCTAGTATTGGGAACAATCATTATCCATCTCCGCACGGCTCCCACCACCATCCACATTCACAAAGTTCATATGATTCCCCTGGTAGCCAATCTGCAACTAGTGGCTTCAGCAAGGGGAAAGTTTCTGGGAGACAAAATGCATTCAGGGTTCAACCTAATGGGATTCTACCACCTTCACATGTTAATATTAGACAGCTGCAGGAATGGGGGAGCAGTAGCACACCTGCTTCTGAAACCTCAGATCAGGATTTTGCATTTTATACAGTCAAGCAAAAGCAAAATCAAGAGAGCATTGGAAACAATCATTATCCATCTCCATGCAGCTCCCACCACCATCCACTTTCATATGGCCCATATGATTCCCCTGGGAGCCAATCTACAACTGGTGGCTTCAGCAAAGGGAAAGCTTCTAGGAGACAAAATGAACTCTATGCATTGGTGCCACATAAAGCATCTAATGAGTTGGGTGATGTGCTGGATGCCCTTAAACAAGCAAGGCAATCATTGCAACAGAAAACCAATCCATTGCCATTAGTAGAAGATGGGTCTATTCGAAACCCTGTTGATCCTTCTCTTCCTACCCCAGTACTGGGTGGTAAAGTAGATATTCTCCTTGGAAGTGTTGGACTCTTCAGACTACCGACTGATTTTTTGGTTGAAGACAACATGCGAACAAACTTCCTTAGTTCTAAAACTCCAATAGGTTTAGGAAACCATTACCCTGATACCGGACTTCCAGCAGCTGCCAGCAATCAATTTGTCAACAGATCTTACTCAGCCTCTGGAACAAGATTTCCTACAGAGGATAGATTTCTGACCAGTCAATATGTCGAGGATGGGTCTAGAATCTCTACCCAAAGGCCTTATTTTAATCCTTATTTGGATTCAGTTTTACATTCTTCAAGCAGGTATACTTACCCACAAATTCCTCTTATCCCCACCAGATACCACTATTGCCTTCTAGGGAATTCCCTTCCTTTCTTCCTAGCAAGACTACTGGTATCCCTCCTGCAAATCATTTTTTATTATCTGATGATCATACTAGACCAAACACGTATAAATAATAGCTTGTTATTGAACATTCTATTAGGTTATCAAATATTAGCTTTTTATAGCATGATAGTTAAAATGATGGCCCTTGAGAGAGGATATTTGTATTGTTTATATATGGTTCACTGTATCATTTAATATGAGATGGAATTTTATAAAATGAGATGCAACTCACTTCAAGTGTTACTATTGTTTCCCCGAACACCATTCTATCTTCTATGCATGGAGCAAGGCCATATCCCTTTACTCTGCTAATGCTATAGATTCCTAGAATCATTTACAATTCAAGCCTTTTTGTTTCATCACTAAATATTCAATAGAGTGGGATGTGTTGCCCAAAATGTTCCTTCAGAACAAGGACTAGAACAAATGCTTAATGTATAAGACAAACTTGTGGTTGAGGGCTTAGTAACTGTTAATTGCATAATTTATACGGACTCCAAGGCTGATTTCTGATCGGTAAGGGATTAATATGGTTCATATTTAAATCCAGTTAGTTTATGTTACGATCCATAACAGCTTTGCACCTCACCCAGTAATCCGCAAATTGTTTTCATCTTATTTTTCTCCTTTGAATGAATTTTAAATTAAATTATGAATTTTAAATTAAATTAGGTAAGAGTAATTTAGTATAACGTTATTAATTATTTAATTTTTGTTATAACAATGTTGTTTTGAATTAATTTAGATTAATTTAGATTAACATGTTAAATTTATAACCTAAAAATCGGATTGTTTTTTAATAACTTTAACAACGATTTTCATACCAAAAGATTGAGTCTTTGGTGGTCAAGTTTTAGACAAACCATCTGCCATCAGGATTTCTGCATTCACAAAAATTCTCATAGGTTGCCTTTGGGTTAAATTCGACTTGAGCCATCATCAAAAATGTCAGTTCATCATCAATCACCACTGCCGTTTAATGTCAACAAAACATGAAGAATGGCCAATGATACAAGCTAAACCACATCCACTGACCAAGACATTGCTTGTAAGTGACCACTTCTTCAAGAAACCAAGGAAGGCTATCATGACAAGTGGTCCAATTACCATATAACCATATAGCCCAATCATGTCCGCTTAATGAGTCTACCTTACAAAAATCTCTTCACAATATATATAGTTGACCATGTATTTTCTTTTGCAACTATGGTCAAGATTTAGCTGTCAAAACTTGATTTCTTGGTTCATAGTCATTGTATCTAGAATTATCTTAGAGAAGAAAGGGTAGTCAGCACGGCGTATATTAATCAACTTGACAAAGTCCTAACTTTTAAAATCTGATATTTTCAATCTTGATTGCTGAACAAGCATGCCTCCCTCCTGTCTCTCTCTCTCTCTTTATATATATATATAAACACTAATAAGGCCTAACTAGCCATTCATCAGAAATCAAAGCAATCTCTTAAAAGCTCTCATCAACATCAAACATTACACAATCTAGCTTAATCTTATTAATCTTGTTATTTTAAAGTCTTTTACCATTAAGGTAATGTCCAAGGACAATTCTCGTGACGTTTCTCCAGTGCATCACGAAGAGGATGTTTATCAATATGGTTATCCTAGGTGTGATACAAGTAACTCTATGGCATCAAGCTCAAATAATTCTCTATTTTTTGGGATATATGATGCTATGTCATTATTGAAAAGTGGTCTGTACCAGCAAAAATATGGCGACATAAGTGATCAATATCATAGAAAACAAGAAAAGACAAGGGATTCGATTGATTCAAGGTTACTAATGTTGCTAGAATTTTTTAGAGAACTTTTTATTCGAAGAAGGGAAGTTTTCAAGAAATTATTCCCGGAGTTACATGATGAATTTTTGAGGGTGTTCAAGAAAATAGGTAACATTAATTTGTCCATAAAAAAACATGGTCAAGTCAAGACTAGGGCATTGCAAAGAATATTGAGTGATGGCTCGCCAAGAATACCTTCAAGAAGTGGAGGTGAATCGCCATTAAGGCTTGAGAGGTTCAAGGTTCGCATGGTAATTCCTGACGACGGTGGCCAAGGTGAAACTAACAAGGGTGGTGGCCAAGGTGACAATGACAAGGGTGGTGGCACATCTGGTGATGATTGAAGAATCATACAGATTACTAGCCTATTTTTGTTGCAAGGTTTGACAACAAACAATTTGCTTCTTCTTCTTTCTTTTTTTTTTGGTAAATAGCAAATAGTTTGTTTAAAGATATAAAATTATTTTATTAATTACTCGATGTATAGATGGAAATAGTATAAATATTTACACAATTTGATGCCTTGTAAAAATTTCATGTACTATGAAATATTTTGCCAATAATAAGGTGTTTTTTTTATACTATTTTTTAGGATTTATTATCCATGAAACAAAATTCATAAACCTAGTTGGTGTCCCAATTAGATTGAGAGATTCTTACATATTTATGAGAGATGGTATTAGTTTTCTTATAACACTCCAATCATTCTCACTTAATATAACACAAGAGATATAAATTTTATGAATATACTAAATGTAGTATTTTTGATCTTTGGTTTAAGACTCAATTTTGGTTACTATTTTTGAATAAAAAAATGAAGATAATAAAAACAGAAACATATTTTATTAAAGAAATAAAAATATGAAATAAAATTGTTTTGGAAAAATAAATTTATCTATTTCAAAACGATAAATACATGATAAATTTATTTTTTTATTGTTTTAACTATGTTTATTTATTTTTATCTATTTTACACTGTACTTAAACATTATTAAAACAAAAAACTAAGTTTCTATAAATTAAGAATTAAAAATAATAAAAACAAAAACTGTTTTATATATTCATGACTGAAGGTTGATAAGGCGTGTAAGGAAATAAGCAGACCATTTGTAATGAATGTTGAGCCCAACAGAGCAATAGCAAGGACATAGTGGTCCAAGAATGGTTGGGCTACGGACCAAAAACAATGATCGGAAGCCCAAGGAAAGTGAGTCGTTGTGTGTCTCAGCTTCAAATTACACGGTTGTCTATAAAACTTATGTTCGTTTTAACAAAATACTGATTTTGAGTTTATTTAGCAAATTTAAACAAAGCAAAATGGATAAAAGTCGGACGAGAAATACTAAACCCTTTTTATTATTAACATAAAGTGTTTCTATTTTTTGTTAAAGTGAATTTTTTAATCTATAAATTATATAGAAAACTAAACAATAGATATTAAAGTATACTAACTTGGAGTGTAGTTTAAGTTAATTTTTTTTAATTAATTTGAAAACAAACCTAATTTAATAAGTCAAATTGGATCTCCATTGATCTAGTTAAACCTGGATAAGATATTGATTTTTAAATAAAAAGTGTTTGGATTTTTATTTAAATTTTTATCTAAATTAATATTTTTTATTAAAAAAACTATAAAAAATAATATTATTACAGGGTTGACTTGGAATCCAGTAACCTCCACATCCCTTAATTAGTTTAGATGAATAAGAGTTAAATAATGTTAGCAAGAATACAGCTTCACAATCATGTTGTGGATAAGATAGATGAGGTCCATGCCAAGCCCCTTCCCCACCACAAAAAGAAAGATAAAAGGAGAAGATTTCTCTTTGAATCCAGCTCACACCTGAACACGAGGAGATTAGAAAATGGAAGGGTTATCTTCATTTATCATTGAGCTCAGGCCGACGAGTTCGGTGGCGTTGCTTCCTTAAAAACTACACTGGCAAGGTTACCTGGTATATGCATGCACAACCGGTAATCTAAAAAAATCGTGGATTATAAATCCGGTGAAATCTAAGCAGATTTGATCGGGATTTTAATAATATGATCAGGTCAAAAATAATATATATATTTTTAATTATATACCATAATGACGATTATTAATCCAAAAGATGAAAGGATTATTAACGAAGAGTCAGTAGACTTCGCCGAGCTCGATGCTTCTGCCCTTTCCACACGGTGCTCGATGTTGAATAGAAATTGACTCGAAGAGGAAACCTTTATGAGCTCCCGAAGCAGAGCTCAGCACCAAGATTACCAAGCATTTCCGTAGGCCCACCACGCTTGGGGTTTTTCTCAGCAGAAGAAAATGATCCGCAGAAGTACCAAGCAAAAGCTGGAATCATTAGCTTCTCCTCTCCATTACTCCTTCCATGAACATGACTAGCACTTTATGAGATATTTATAGCCACTTTGTGCACGTATTTGAAGCAAGAAAAATTAAAATTAAAATTAAAAAATTGTGGGAAATATATATATATATTGTGCAATGATGCCACAAGGAGTCATATGTGCACAGCTTTCTACGAAAACATCAAACTCGTTAGTGGGCTCAACGCCTCCATTGACACTAATCCACGATCAAAGTGGGCTCATTTATTAATACTATTCAGCCCCGCCATGAACTTAGAGGATAATTTTATTTAATAAACAAACTTTTCGGAGAAAAACTAGCTGATAATTGAGATTATAAATGGGTTATCACAAATCTCTCAAAGCAGGATTAATTAACAGTTTGACAAGTGAAGGGCAATCATTTAATTTATTTTCTCTCTTTTTTTTGTAATTTTTCTTAATTTGTTTTGTTATCTTAACCCAAATCATGTAATCAAACCATTAGTGTATGCCCTCCACTGTGAGTCCAAAATCGGGATCTTCATCCATGAAAAACAATTATTAACCCATAAGATAAACTTGAAAAATAAATAATAAAGCAATCATGTAATTCAGTCTACAGCTTTTCTCTAGATTTTTTTTTTTCCTCGTATAGACCATACTTGACAGACCTAGAACAATAACTCATCTAAAAAGAGCTTGGATTACTTGCCAGTTATTAATTCAATTTAAGTCAAATATCTTTATTAAAATAATTTTATTTTATTTTATTTTTTTAATTAAAACTGACCTAATTAGACTTGAATCAAATTTAATTCAGGTCAAGTTTGAATTAACTCAATGTATCAAAATAAATTTAATAATTATAGTACAAATTATCAATCAACTTAAGATATAAAACTAGACAAATACTTATAAAAAAAGAGGAATTAAATAATAGGATCACGATAGAATTAAAAAATAAATAAAAAGTGTAAAGATTAAAGTAAAAGGTAAGAGAAATTAAGTGGGGCAAAGGAAGCCACTACACTACCAAACCAAAACCTACTCTTAATCTTCACATGGAAAAAGAAACTCCCCAACATATTTTTTTCACCATCACCACCTTTTGTA